GATTCAGTTGTGTCTTTTTATAGCTCATTCTCATTTTTTGCTCAAGGCCTTAGCTGCCATAGCTTCATTTAGTTGGATTTAATTTGTAGTTGGCTTCAACTCTTAATTGAACTTGAACTCTTAATTTTAATTGAATAACTCAGTCAACAAGGGCAACTACTTTTTGCTTTATCTTATTGAAAAATATGCTATGCTCTTCCAAAATAGATTCCCTTTGCCAACTCCAAGCAACTGGCTTTTAGCCAAGTTCTTAGCTTCATGTTCTAATTAATACCACAAATACAATGAAATAAGTAAATATAAGACTAAGGTAACTCTGCCGTCTAATTGAGATGAAGATGGAGGGACTTGCTTTGTAAAATTAACACGAACGTGAAGTTCGAAAGAGGTGTGTTGTTGTCTTGTTGCTACATGTGGCATGAACATAAATTCAGATGTCCAGATTCTGTTGCAAATGCATGCGGATTGTTTAAATGGTTGCCTGCAACACTGTTGCTACTTTATATTCTCATAAAACATGACAGCGCAGCAGCCAAAACAGCGTGTGGCAGCGGCAACAAACTTGTACTTGTTCAAACAATGTACCCAAATGTCGTAGCATACTTTTCAGCGCCAAGGCCCATTATTTTTTTTTTAGAGCGAGCGAAAACACGTGCTTGGCCAAAATTTCACTGCGGTCGACTGATCTTTGGCAGCGCTAAGCCTGCCCCAAATTGTCTGAAAAATAAGCCTTTTCGTCATAATAATAAAAAGCTTCTTAGCACTTCTTTTACTCTGGCAGCGAATCGCACGCGTCGAGCGCAATTTTTACTACCGCGCTGGACGCATTAAGTAAATAAGTAGATTTCGATGTCTCGACTGATACTTTTTGTTGTTGTTGTTGTTGTTTTGTTTTGTTTTATTGTTGTCTGACCAGCCAGACAGTGAGCCACTGTCCACTGGTCAGACGCAGACAAAGCACACACGCACACTCGCACGCACATGTGTGTGTTGATACTTTGATTGCAGCAAAACGAGATCGTTAAATCAAAACAACGACTTTGAGCACGTGTTGGCCCATTACCATGATAAATGGCCAAGGCCAAGGACATGGCCAGGACGCTATGCTGTGCTGTTCTATGCTGTGCTGCAGACGATATAGTCCTGTTTATTCAGCCTGCATTTGATTGGCGTTCGGCATAATTGTATGTTAATATCGAGGCGTCCAAGTGGCTCAACAGCTGGCGGCTGTTCCGATTGCCTGGACGGCAGCTAATATCGAATTTGTGATGCAGACACACACACGCACGTACACGCACGCACACTTGCACCCATACAAAGCTAATGACAGTAGCGTGGAACCTACACACACACACTCCCACACACATACACACGGCTTAGTACTGTTGTCATACGCGCTTATGAGCTTGACCTTGACATTGTCACTGAAAACGCTGATAAACTATGCCCTAATCCACTGGCATTATGTACATTCGGCACTTTGGCCGACGGGCAACGCAAACGCACACACACACACACACACACACGCACACACACACACACACACACACCCGCACACACAGTAAAACAAAAACGAATTGAGACCTTGGACCAGTAAAAAGCCTCTGCAGCTAAAAGCAAAACCAAAATCAGTAAAAGTGCCAAAGCCGTGTATTCTCTACAGGTAGATACTCTGTAATCAACACCCTGTTGCATTTGTGTAGCATCCGCTTGATTTATATTTAATTTGCATATTGTTGGTATATTTTTATACTTATTTTCATAGTTTTTACGGCCGCTATCTGTATCGGAGCATCTGCGTATCATAGCAAATTGTGCAGTCCCTGCTCAAAGATCACTTAATGCTGATTAAGATATATACCGTCTCTTGGCCATTTTATGGGCTGCAGGGTATGAGCGGAATGTGTAGCAAAGGCAAAAGCAGCAAGGAATGCGAAATAAAATCAATTTTCATTGTAATTGGCATCTTAAAGGTTTAAGCATCGTCCATTTCTATTATTAAAGTGGCCACCAAGCGCCTTGCAGAGCACTTGGTACACAAAAACATAAGCTCCAGTTGTGCACAGTGGAGCAAATCAGCCAAAGACCCTACAACTAAAAAGTACATAAAATGTCATACATTTAAAAACGAGCTGAATAACTACATACATCGAGTCATATTATTAGTTATACTATTTAGAGTCTAGCTCCAGCTATGCTTGGCTCAAATCCAGTTTAAACCAAACGTGTTTTATCTAACCATTCAGATAGCATCGAGCACAATTCTTTTACACTGTGCCTTGTGCCTGACTGTGCCCTAGCCCTGCCGCCAGCGGTATCTGTTTGTCGGCCTATAAAGTGTGCTGCAGTTCACGTGAAGTTCATTGCATTTGGCGCTGCGTGCAGCTAGTTGGGTCTAGTTTGAGGGCTGGTTTATTAGTGGATCGTTTGCCGCTTGGCCGCCAGCTTGCCCTGATGCTGGCATCAAGACGTAAAGTTGCTATTTGCGCCATGGTGACCCTGACACTGGCTCGCATTGGACGCATTATCCTCGCTTATTGTCGTATATCAAATTTAATGGCTCCACTCGCCGCCGACGCCGCCGCCGCCGCTGCCTTTCAGCTTCCTGAGCAGCTTTGCATTGTCTGTGCGTGCGACTTGCTTTAATGGCGCTCGCCGCCCTGAAAAGTGCTTTAAAGGGCCTCCAAGCTGCCAACTCCATGCAGCTCCATCAGCGTTTCATAGCCTGGTCGTTGGCATTGTGTTGACAACCAGACGGCGCCCATATGCATGTCGGGACGGGACGCACCCGCCACCATTCGTTAATCAATCAACCTGCAAATTGAGATCTGACATTCTGAAAGAAAGAAAAAAACAGTCACTTAGAATCAATCGAAAAACAAGACATTCATTTTACGCAATTTACATGTAAATGGGTGGAAACCAGATAAATAAAAACAAAACATAAAGTATTTCTTGTACTGAAGATTTGAAATATGTATAGGTAAATATCGGTTTTAAAATAGAATATTTTATGCAAAGCTCATAAAGCATGAGAGCTAGAGACACCAAATTTTATATGTCGGCTTTCACATAGTTTACACAGGTCCAGATGCTCCCCTAAAAAACTGAAAAAGAAAACTAATTTTAAAATGTTAATTCTTGCTGTTTGTTCAAATATACATATATATTCAACTAATTTTATATACACTTTGCAAACTAGAGCAGAAGCAGAATATTAACTAGTCGGACTCTCTCATGCCCAGCATGTTTTTGCTTGTTTCCAAGTAAAAAGTGCGATAAATTATCCACATGGCAACAATTGAATAATTTTTGGTTTCTACCAAATCTTAAAGTATTTGCGAACGAATTTGGCTGCAATCATGAATGCAACAGCTTTCTGGTTCCCTGGAGGCAAACAGTCCCAGTTCAATGGCACACCTTTTGATTTTCAAGTCATTTTTGCTCAACTTTTCAGCTGTCAGTTTTTGGCATCGCACACCCCTCGGGTAAAACACACACACACACACACACACACACACACACACACACACACACACACACACACACACACACACACACACACACACACACACACACACACACAGCACACACAGCACACACAGCACACAGCACGCAAGAAATGAGAAAAAAATTGAGAACACAAAATGAAGTTGTCGCGTGTTCCCGGCTGATGCTGATGATGACATGTCACCATTGCTGTCGTTGATTCAAAAAAATTTAGTTGAAAATCGAACAATTTTCTTTCAAGAATGAAAACGAGGGCTGGCGGGGCTTGTTTTCACTTTTCGCGCTTGTCCTTGGCACTGGCTCTTGCACAGGCACAGGCACGGGTACGGGCCACGTGCCGAGCCTCTCACACATCAAATTATGCTAATCAGGTGGCAGCCAAGAGCAGGCGCTGCTGCTGCTGCTGGTGCTAGCATGGGCGTGGCTATGGCAGAGGCAGAGGCAGAGGCTGAGCTAGTGGCAACCAACATGTCTAAAGCCGCATAATCGATTGCTGCTCAGGCGAACGACGAATGAAAAGCGCATAGAAAATGAATTTAATTTTCCCAACCCCCATATTGGGGATATCTACATGGAGCAGTGCCAAGGACGCAGGCCTGCGGATGTGTCCGTAGCTACAGCCGAAAACAATTTGGCACTCTGCATAAAAGTATGCAATAGAAAATAAACAAGGGGCCAACAGCACAACGAATCAATAATGCTCTTTCCCAAAAGTATGCAAGGGCCAGTGGCATAGCGATTGGCTGATACTCTGTACAATTGCTATATTGCACTTATAGTAATTTGCTTTCCAAATGACTTTTCTTTTGTTAACACAATCCATTTACAAGCATATGCTACCGAGATAACGTGCGAAAATATACTTGGACAAGAAATCGAAGCTTATTATATTGCTATTGATTTAGAAATTTAATAGCAGAGCGTCGTGTATCTATTCTTATCTCTGCCGGTCTCTAACATTTACACAACTTTACTATACGCTTTTGTTTTGGTTAAGTTATATTTTTTACATTTGGCTAATCCTGTTTTAAATGGAATTTTACATAGGTATATAGGTTAAGAATGAGCTTGAATCCGATCGAATGGCAAAGAAAATGAAACACGTGTTTTCTCATTCTTTATGTAGAGTATGAAATCGAAATAAGTTTAACAAGTCTTATTTGGTTTTATGCTTTGACTAGCAATACAATACGCTATATATCAGCTCATAATCTCTCTCTATCTCGTTCTCTCTCTATCTCTTTCTCTCTCTCGATTCTCGATCTCTCTCTCGCTCTCTCTTTTCCTCGCTCTCTCTTTCCCTCGATTCTCTCTCTCTCTCTCGCTCTCTCGCTCTCTCGCTCTCTCTCTCACTCTCCTCTCGTTGTGTTCATCTCTCCTTCTATCTCCTGCTCTTGCTCTTACTCTCTCTTCCTCTCTCGTTCTTTTAATCTCCCTATGTATCTCCTGTTCTTGCTTTTACTGACTTGCTACTTTTATTGCACTTTCAGAGATCGATATACATATGTGAAATATGCTTCCCTCCTAAAAGTCGACGGTAATTAAATATACGTGTGAATGTGATATGTTCGTGTAAGTACATATTTACATTTATTTTAATACTTGTATAAATAGGAATTTATAATAAGCAATTAAAAAAGGCACGAGCGAACTTCCAGTTTATATATAATTATATCTGGTGTCATGATTATATCTGGGTTGCGAATCTCTCGGTGACGCAGAGCTTGTAGATATTCCATTTTTCGATGTTGTGTTTCCGAAACCACAAACATAACTAAGCATAATGAATGCTCAATGTATATGTATGAATGCTGGCCTGCAGCACAGACCTTTTACTCAATCTTAACATTAAAATGTATATTTAATGTACGCTAAATAGAGAGTTAATTAGAGAGTTACATACAGTTCCTTATTTTGAATACGTCTTCATCATAAAACGCAAGTCATTTAGTAATTTAATAAACCAAAAACTCGGATAAGTTTTATATACTATTTATACTCAGTTGGCATCTTTATTGTTTTATTGTTTTGCGAAGGGTTTGGCTAACAATAGTTTACTAGAGATGTGGCAAATTACAATTTGATAACTAAGCCAAATGAATAGTGTAAAACGGAGTATGCTGAATATTCAGAAAATCCATAACATTTTCCAGTCAAAGCAACCAAAAAGAATTCATGTATCACCGAGAATTGGAATTGGCATGAAGTTTGGATTTGGTTTGAAGAGATATCTGTGTCATATGTGAATATGTATTGTACTGGGCTATGTTTGCAATTGTTAGATTGTAAAATATTTACTATAATTCATTACTTGTAAGTCGAATAATGGGATATTCCGCACTCAGCATGCATGTCCTTTATTATGCATGTGGCAAGTGTCAGGAAGCGATCTTTGATTATGTGCAAATGCGAACAAATATGAGCAAACAAAGAAGCAGCAACAAAGTGTATAATAAAAGTGAAATTTGTCAAGGGAATCGACTGCATTTCTATATATATATTTGCTATATATTTGCTGCGGCGGCAACAGCGGCAACAAAGCTCAAAAACATCAATTTGTGCGAGGCCAGCCGCAGATAAAGCATGAAAATGGCATTGCAATGCTTCACCGAGCACTGCCTGAGAGGGGCAGACTGTGAACAGTGTGTGTGTGTGTGTGTGTGGGGGGGGGGGGGGGTCTGAGGATTAGGGGTGTTGTCACGTACGACTGGGTACCATCCAAATTGATAGTGTCATCAGTTTTGAAGTGTTGCTGCTGCTGCTGCTGCAATGAAATTGTGAATGGCGGTTGGTGAATGGTGCATTGTGAATGACAAACCGCTTTTCTTTTTTTCCTGTGTAAGTTGGGAGTAATTTATGGGGAGCCAGAATCGGGGGTCGGATAGCGTGAGACGGATTAACACGGAATAACCAGCAATTTTGTAAACGCAATGCTTGTCTCTGGTTCAACATCAGTTGAATGAAGATGCGACATTCCAACACATGCCAACAAATTGGGACCATAAACATTTTATAGTTATGAGTTTCTTACTTTTGAGCATCGGATTGGATTACAAATTGACCGCTACATATATTATTTTGCCAATTTATTATGCATCACAAACCAATCATTTCATCCACATGAGTGCAGAGCTTGATTATATATTATATTATAGTTATCCAGACTAATTATGTTTTATTATGTTAAACATTTCAAACTTTGCCAATTCCAATTTAAAAATATTTTTTTTTTTTCAAAAATTTACATATTTATTGCTTATCCATTGTGCATTAAAAACTGCAAAAGCAAAGCCAACTGAGCAAAAAGTTTGATTATATATTGTTTATGTAAAGTATATCATTTACATTTTTCCAAAAATGCTTTAAAAATGTTATTGCAACATTTAAAATATTGAGTCTTTAATCATACATATTTTTGCCATGCACTAAACTTTAGTTTCTGTGCATTAAAAACCCAAAAAGAAAATCCACCTGAGCAAAAAGCTTGTTCATTCAAACTATTTAGTTTTTGTGTTATGTTAAATAATTACAATTTTGCATTAATATTTTAATATTTAATAATATTATGGCAATATTTTAAATCGTTGTTGCTCATACAAGCAGATTAATTGTTGTGCTTTTTTAAACATTTAAAGTGTTGCAACAATTTTGTTAAATAATCCAAAAACAAGTTCTTTTGAAGCGAGCTATTTTAAAGTAAATATTTTACGGCTCCGGTTAAGGCTCGGTTGTTCTTTAAACAGAAAATACTGCTCATGGTGTTGCTCGGTTCAAGCAGGCTTCTCGTTTACAAGTTCTCAGTCATTTATCATTCATTGTTCTATGTCTTTAAGGAATAATAAGTGTTATTCTGTTAAAGCAGCTGTAGCTGAACTTTAAATAATTAAGCATAAGTTGAGAATTGTGCCTCGCAAAGCATTTAGTTCTTAAAACTTGAGTGGCCTTAAATTGCCATCGTCTGTGCTGCCACCTGGATTTGGCACAAATGGCAACTACTTACTTATCTGCTTCTCGCTTACCCTCAGCGACTTGCGCTCTCTCTCTCTCTCTCTCTCTGTTTCGCTCACTTCATGGCTCTGTTCGCCTGCAGATATGCAGCAGTTTAAAAAGCTTCGACAACATGGACATCAACGGCAAGTGAGCGTTTAGCTGCCGGCGCCTGTTTAAAGTTTGTACTTCAGGTAATTACTGAATGTAAATAAAGCCCCTGGGCGCACACACTCTCGGACTACAAATGGCAAACACTTTATCGTGCAGAGGTGTACACAGAGCGGCGGCGGGGCCAATCGACATTATTCAACAGCCAGCAGCTAATAGCCACCAGCTACCAGCCACCAGCCGTCAGTTGTCAGTTGTCAGCCTCCGGCCATCGGCCACCAGCCCCGAGTTTGTTATCAAACACAGCCAATGAATGGCAATAATCACGGCAAACTATTTGGCAACGCTCCGCCCCTTTCCAGCCCTCTTAAGTAACACGAGCGTTGGCATGTTCGGGTTGCTGAATAATGATGCAGGCAGGAGCGAAAAAAAAAACAAAAATCACGCACGCATATTGCAAAAACAAAAGCCCGAAACACTTAATGCCAAAGGGCGGAATGGGGCGAAAGGTCTAAGTATCTCAGAGCTAATGTGTGCGACATGGGTAACAGCAACGGTAACGGTATATGGCTGAAGGCTTATGCTATATGTTCTATATGGTGTATATGGCAGGCGACACGTCAACGGCAGAGTCTTGAGCTCCATTTGCAGGCATTTATATGTGTCAGCATGTCATGACCATCATCAATCACTTTTGAGTTATTTGTCAGTTGAGTTTCTCTTTTTCTTATACCCTGTAACCGTTAAAAAAAGGTGTAATGGTTGGGTGCAGATGTAAGGAGACATCTGCGAACGTATGAAGTTGTTCTATTCATAAGGCCGATGATGAGCGGAGTCGATCTAGCGTCTGTCTGCCCGTCCGATCGTCTTATCGAGCTCAAAAAGTATATATTCTTATATATCATATCCTTTGGCTTATAAACTATCGATAAATATCGATTTTCAGACCATGTCATCATAGCATATCTTCGAGATATACAATTTAATAGAGGTAAGCCCTTGTCCTTTGACTTTGGAATTTCTTTTTCTTTCTCGATTCTATTTTTTTTGTTGTGCGCTAACTTGATGAGTACCTTCTGGGCTGATATTCTTATATGTCATATCACCTGATTTATATGATATCGATAAATATCGATTTTGAGACTATTTCATCATAGCATCTTCGGAGGTATACAATTTAATAAAGCTAAGGCCTTGTGTTTTGGAAATGGATTAAATTTGTTTATTGTACGCTGGAATCGAAGAGTACCTTCTGATCTCTACCAAGCAAGAGACTATGCAAATGGAGTGCAGTCAAAAGGTTGTGTAGGTTTTAGAGTATATCTAACGAAGGGGTAGTTGCAATGCTGGTGTTGTGAATATAGATTCATTAAAATAATAGGACTTAAATAATTTGTCACAGGGGTATATCCCCTGAAGGCGTGTCTCTGTAGTGGAGTCAGTCAGAATCCCGACGACCATACTCGGATGCCGCAGCAGCTTGTAAATAAATTTATCTGATCTCCGACCTCTGCTAGGCATAGATCGCCTTTGATGGAAAACACCGGAGCTATTGTAGAATGCATGCTTGTTAGTGTACAGCTGAAGGAGGACAAAACACAGCAGTTTCATAAAGTGCGTGCTTGTGTGTGTGTTTCAATGAAACTCCGAAGATTTGTGACGGCATCTTGGTGGTGGGTACAGGGTATCTTCAAGTTGGGCACTACCAACTATTGCACTCACTTGTATGTTTTTGGTTTTCGGAAAGGTGTGGGGCGTGATACCCTTCAAATGGAACTCAGTACATCTACATCTAGCGAGCTGACATTTATGAGCTGCCACTAGCCACAGCTCATATGGACAACTGGCACACCCTAAACAGACCCTCACACAAACATACACACAGACGTACGCACACCCCCCAAGTCGGCTGCACTTGCTGCAGCGCCCTTAAAAACTGTAAACCAAGCAACGTCTGGCAACGTATGTCCGCCATTTGTCTTGCTTAACTAAAGTGGCAGCATACTTGTGGCATCAATGTGGCCTACTCCGCCTACCCAGCCCGCTTCGCCTACTCCCCCCACGGCGCCACCTCTTTTGCTCACCAGCAAATTTCATCGATTTCCCAAACAAATCTTTTCCTGACGAGCAGCGTCTATTTTTAGCTGCTTACTAAATTACCAAATTATGCAATATTTTATTGTTGATTTTATTGTTTATTATTTTATTTTATTTTTTGTTTGTTTGTTGTTGCAAAAGGGACGGCAAAGACAAACACAGCGATATAAATAAATAAAGAAATGTGTAAAACTTTTCAATTTATGCAGATACACGCCCACACACAAACACACACACACACTGTGCTGTGCGTAGTTGAGCTGTCTCTTTGCATATGAAAATGAGTTTGGTTTTTTAGCTGTTTTTTTAGGTATTTTTGTTTTTAATTTTTTCTCATATTTTTTTACTGC